GGGGAAGGTAGAGGGAGGTATAGGGCGGATAAATGGTGATAGAGGCTTGACTTGGGGTGGTGAACACACAATACAGTGTACAGATGATGTGCACCTGAAACCTGTATAATTCTGTTAACCAGTGTAACCCCAATAAATGCAATAAAAAGGGAAGAATAAAGAAAAAATAAAGATAATGCTGAGAAAGAAAGAAAAATTCCCACAAATAGAGAAATGAGAAAGGAAGAGAAGAGATAACAGAGGATGATTCTTTTAAAATTCAGAGTTAGATGAACATAGACACAAAAATCCTCAACAAATATTTGCAAACCAAATTCAAGAATACATTAAAGGGTCACACACCATGATCAAGTGGGATTTATTCCAGGGACACAAGGATAGTCTAACATACACAAATCAATCGATGTGATATACCACATTTAACAAAATGAAGTCCAAAAACATAGTTTGCTAAATAGTTACAGAAAAAGCATTTGACAAAATTCATCAGACATTCATGATAAAAAACTCTCAACAAAGGGGTATAAAAGGGATGTTGTTTAACATAATAAAAGCCGTATATGATAAGCCCACAGCTAACATTATACTCAATGGTGAAAAGCTCGAAGCTTTTCCTCTGAGATTGGGAACAAGCCAAGGATGCCCACTCTCACCACTTTTATCCAATACAGCATTAGAAGTTCTAGCCAGGGCAATTAGGCAAGAAAAATAAATAAAGGCATTTAAATCAGAGAGAAAAAAGTAAAACTCACTATTTGCAGATGACATAATATAAAATATAGAAAACACTAAAGACTCCACCTAAAAACTATTAGAACAAACACACAAATTCAGTGAACTTGCAGGATACGAAGTCAATATACAAAAGCCTGTTGTATATACACTAACAATGAACTGTTGTATATACACTAACAATGAATTTCTCTTTCTGATGAAAGAGAAATTAAGAAAACAATCCCATTTACAATTGCATTAAAAAGAATAAAATACCTAGGAATCAATTTCACCAAGCAGGCAAAAGACCTTTATACCGAAAACTATGAAACACCAATGAAAGAAACTGAAGATGAAACAAATAAGTGGAAAGATATTCTGTGCTCATGGATTGAAATAATTAATACTTTGAAAATGTGCATACTACTTAAAGCAATCTACAGATTCAATACAGTCCCAATGGCATTTTTCACAGAAATAGAACAAACAATTCTAAAATTTATATGAAACCACAAAAGACCCCACATAGCCAAAGCAATCTTGAGAAACAACAACAAAGCTGGAGGCATCATGCTTGCTGATTTCAAATTATGTTACAAAGACATAGTAATCAAAACAGTATGGTGCTGACATAAAAACAGACACATAGATCAATGGAACGGAATCAAGAGTCCAGAAATAAGCCCACACATATAGGTCCAAGCACAGTCAAACCTCAGTTCTTGAACATCTCCCATCTCAAACAATTCACATTTCAACCCCACAGCACTTTCACGCTGATAACTATATGATCAGGCATGCGTCTCTCAGGCAATGAAGGAGAGAATGCACGCAAGTATGAGTCAGTTTACCACTAAACCTCACGATGTTAACATCTCAGGAAATTGTGCTGTGAATATTCTTGTGTTTTTGCTTTTATTGCTGCTTATTACATTTTTCATTTCCTTTCTATTATGTTTTCATTTACATTTCATGTCCTTTTTTTAAGTGTTTATTTGTAGATTAAATGCTACATTAGGTATGTACTATATATAAGAAAGGTTAAAACAAGGAATCATTTGGGGATCTGGAATGGATTAATTCAATTTACATTATTTCTAATGGGAAAAAAAATGATTCAGTTTTGAAACAGCCTTTTGGAATGAATGAAGTTTGAGAACAGGGGTTCCACTAATTTAAGGCCAAGGAGTCAAGGGTACACAATAGGGAAAGGACAATCTCTTCAATAAAAGGTGTTGGGAAAACTGCAAACCCACATATGCAAATGAATAAAACTGGGTCACTATATTACACACCATACAAAAAAATTAACTCAAAATGGAATAAAGATTTGATATAAAATGATAAAACTCCTAGAAGGAAAGTATAGGTGGTAAACTTCTTGAACTTGGTCTTGGTGATGATTTTTGGATCTGACACCAAAAGCAAAGTATCATTATGGAGAGAAACCCACTACACAGTGATAAAAGAGTCAATTTATGAAGAAGACAATAATTCTAATCACATATAAGTCTAATAAAATCACATCAACGATATATAAAATAAAAAGCAATAGGACCCCTAAGAGAAATGAACAAATCTACACACTATTTATTATTGGCAGGCCACTCAGATAGAAAGCCAGCAAAGACAGAGATAACCAGAGGTTTGAACAATAAACTTAACCAGTTGGATCCAATCGAACAAATATAAATGTCTCCACCCAATAATTAAAGATTAACCAATCTCCTCAAGCACACACAGAACAGTTACAAAAACTGCCAATGTACTAGATCAAAAGTCTCAATAAACTCTAAATAATTATCATATAGACATATTCTCTACCGTATACTTAAATTATAATTTAATAATAAAAGTATAAATTAAAAATCCTCATGCACTTGTAAATTAAAAACACTCCTTCTAGCCTTGACCACTGTGGCTCAGTTGGTTGGAGCACTGTCCTATACACTGAAAGTTCACGGGTTCGATTCTTGGTCAGGGCACACACCCAGGTTGCAGGTTCGATCCCTGGTTGTTTGAGGTGCGCACAGGAGGCAACCGATCAATGTTTCTCTCTCACATCGATGTTTGTCTCTCTCACATCAGTGTTTCTCCCTCTCCCTTCCTCTTTCTTTAAAATAAATAAAAACATATCCTTGAGTGAGGGTTCAAAACAAAACAAATTAAAAAAACACTACCTCTAAATATTTCATGAATGAAAGAACGAAGCAGAGTAAAAGAAACAATTATTTAGAACTAAATGTTATAAAAGCAATAGGCTACGCCAGGATAGAAGCAGAAATAATAAAATAGAATATATATATGCCGTAAGAGGTTCAACAAATCCAAACTTGGTTTGCTGAAGACTAGCTCAACAGACAAACCTCGGTAAGACTTATCAAGAAAAAGAAGAAAAAAAGAGATAAGACACGTATAAACCACATTAAGAATTTTTAAGACAAAATTGCAAGTAAAACTGAGACTAAAAAGATGAGAAAATATTATCAATAATTTTACACCAATTAATTTGAAATAAGAAATAACAAATG